CTAACCTCACAGGTACCTTCCTGACCCTAAAACTAACCTAAACTCAATTCACATCTTCGTCCTAAACCTACCCACCCCCACCCAAAATCAGCTTCTGAAGTCATGGGGACCAGGCTTTGGTCCCCACAAGGAGCATCCAGTCCCCACGAGGCTGCATTTTCCTGAAAAATCGTCCCCACCAAGTAGCAAAAACAAGGCAACACATACACACACAAGTTTGTAATCCTATCCTTATTAGGACCGTATAGCTACTTCTGTTAATTTCTATGGCCTAACCCTAGCTCTCACCACCCCAAGTACATAACTAACCCTAACCTAACTTCCTTAGTCCTAAACCTAACCCTTAACCCCAAAATGACATTCCACCATATTAGGACCGGGCTTTGGTCCCCAAAAGGACTACTGGTCCGGACAAAGTAGGTGTTTATACCAGAAAAGGACCTAAAACGGTAACAAAACCCAGGTATGCACACACACAACTTTACAGTTAACCCACTGATTCAGGTAAAATGTAGTAACTCGTTAAATTAGAGGTGTTTTGAACTATGCTCATCATTACAACTTGTTCTGAAACTCCTCATGTACGGGGTGCACTGACGTAAATTGTTTTGTATTTTACTTTAAGGTTTACTATAGATAATATAATGGAAAAATATCCGCAATGAAAGTGACTGCCACGTTAAAAAAACATTTCCACTTCTTTTATATTAAAAATTAAAGACTTCAAGCATTTCTTATATTGCCAACCGCTGTTTGATGTCTGAATGTTGGACTGAAATTCTTGTACGATGAGACGGTTGTAGTTGTTTTAGTTAAATTTGGAAAATAACCTAATGTGCAATCTCATGCGATATGTGTTCGAGCTCAGTGTGTTGTGAATGACTCTCAGCTACTACCACGGCAAAACTTTAGAATAAGATAGTAATTGTGTAAAACTGATTGAGTTGTAGCTTATTGTGTTGGTCCAGGTGATTAACTGTGGTGGCCATCTTGAAATGAGTTGGCTCCAAAAGTTAATCAGTTGTAGATGTTTTCAAGCAAAGATGGATTTCTGGGAATTTCATTCAAATACATTTGTTGATTAATGAGAAATTTTGCTAATGCTAGTGACAAACAAGGTATACTAGCATGGTATTCTTTAAAAATATATATTTTTAAAATAGTAAAGCAAAACCCTACAAGATGTTCTGACATTATGATTAAATTAACTGCTGATTGAAATTGTTTACATATTTGTTTGATTACATGTTCTGCATTTTCTAACATGGCATTTCTCTCCAGGGATTAAACTCTGTAATGCAAAATCACCTTTTTAGTTGTCAAATACATTTTGTTGTGTACTTGGAGTCTCTAGGAGTGCAGAAAGAGGTGAAAGAGGGGCTTGTGGAGTTGTAATAAGGAGGAATTCAGACCAAAATAATGCAGTTCTACTTTATGTAGACCTCAATGGAATGATATATATGTGAAAAAGAAGGATTTAGAAGCATCAAATGTCTCCTTTAATCTGTGTTTCATGAAAACTTAACTCCACTTGTTTTTTGTATGAAGGTCTGATCTGCCTCCTGTTGGAAGGAGAGGAACTGGATCATCTCATGTCTCTCTCTCCTGAGGAGCTGCTGCTGCGCTGGGTCAACTATCACCTCAGGAATGCAGGGACAGAAACCATCAACAACTTCAGCGCTGATATAAGGGTAACACACAGAACCAGTACCACCCTCACACCAACACGCTCCCACTAAGACGTTAGCATCATCTTGTGCGTTTTTGCCTCTGAAGGACTCGCGGGCCTACTTCTACCTTTTGGAACAAATTGCTCCACAAGATGAAGATGAATTCCATTTGGGGGTCAGAATTGACAAGTCTGGCCTCAACGTGAGTTTGTTTGTTGTTGCTTGATAAAGCTGTTGCTTTTGTTTGTGTTTGCTTATCTGTCGGGTTTGCAAAAATATCTCATGAACCACTGGATAGATTTTGAAGGGATCCCCGATTAATTGTAACATTAGACTTTATTTGATAAACATTTATTTTAACTGTAAAATAAAGACTGTAAAAATACTGTAGGCTGTTTAGTTTTGTAAATTTTTAAAAATATATTTTAACATGGATGGAGCCATTTTATTTACACACAAAGCATTCTGGGTAAATGATGACGTGGATAGGTCCTCA